AGGAAAATTTCCCAAGGAGTACCTTGTGTAAGCAAAGAGCATCAAGAAGGCGAGTTCCTCGAGGTATGAACAATTCTGGATCTTTATCTTCTCTAGATTTGTAATAGTTGTTATGTTTGCTTGAGGTATACTATGAAAAGTATGTTTGGTTGAGGTATACTATCAAAGTTATGATTGCCATCATAGCCTCATAGGAAAGGAAACTGCTTTTTTATAAAAATAATTTCTGATTTAATTCACTCAAGAAAAATTATAATAAAGGTAACCAAATACAACTATCCTTCAAAATGCCAACCATAATTATGTACGGGTGTCAAAAAAATCCTATTAAGAAAGCATTATCAAATGCAAACACAGGCCAACTCCATCAACCCAGTACAAAATATATTTGATATACAATTTACCTGCTTGCCAATTCTTTGTGAACTGTTCTCTTTCTCTTTAAGTACTTTTTGAACTCTTTGTACAACAGCTCTAGCATTTTCAATCTCCATGCGTGCATTAGTTCGTTCTTCGTCAACAATTTTCTTAGCATCTTCAGCATCCTGTGAACGATATAGAAAGAGTGATTTGTGAAAATAAAAAGTTGGGAATATACCAAGATTAAGCATACTTGATATGGATAAATGATGTTTATAAAAAATACTAAAACAACGTGCCAATCCAAGAGTAATTGGAACATGTTTTACGCACAAATCATTGCCACCATGTTATTTTCTTAACCATGGTAAAAAAATCAGGCAGAACTCCTAAAAATTTGCTGTTCAACAAACCATCGGCAGGCCCCTGAAAATTTGATGTGCATTTGCAAGAAAAGAACACCATTTCAAATTTGTAGTACTGTTTGATAGTCTGTTTCTGAAGTCCCAACAAAGGCAAAACTTCAGCTTGGCTTGCTTAATCATGGCAGATAATTTTCCTCCAAAGCCAGTAGCAAGCAGGGAAAATACACATGGCATTTGATAGTACATTGTAAACAGAGAACACATAATGGATCATGGTACTAAAATTTGCTTACAAAGGTTCATATAATAAAGATACTTCCAAAGTACAAGGATCAACTCACCAGTTTCAGTGAAGTCGCTATTCTCGTGACATCAGTTTTCTGCTGAAGCAGCTCATTTTCTCTTTTGGACAGCTGAACTGGTAAAATATCCACCTATAGAAAGTGTCAAACTATTAAAGTGCTCACAAACAAAGGGATGATTTAGGCATATATATTTAGCTGCAGAATTCTTTTAATAAACCATAATGGTAAGTTTATAACACTTGCAGCGTCATTAAATATACTCTAAAAACACACTGAGGAACAATAATCCTTCACGTGGCTGTAGATATGGTTCAAAAGAAGAAAAACCAACCATAGATACTGATTCCTCAATTTCATCATTATAGTTGCCAGCTACTTGACCTCTCAGTGACTCCAATACACTCTTTAGATTCTTCTGAAGGATGTCTCGCTCCAATAAAGCCACTTGTTTACACTTAACCTGAGAGTTAAAGCCAATGCAATAACTTAAGGTCTGTACTAACTGAACCAATTGCAAAATGAGTGTTCAGGAATTAGGAAGACCCATACCTCGTTAGATAATAATGTGGCATTACGGAGGCCCTTATCAAATTTCATTGCGAGCTCGCGGACTGTAATACGCTGACGCTGATCAAGCAGATCTGCTGTCTCTTTGTCAACAGACTCCTTAAATGATGGCGTTTCTGGCTCATCAGCAAATTTGATGACTATCCCATTCGTACCATTCTTGTAGGTAGGGAATTTATTTCTGATGACATTTACTGGGTGCAATGGCCCAGTCCAGTTGTTCTGATCCTGTGTCTTCCGCCAAAAATCAAGAGTTGATGCCCGAGTCATCGATAAGTAATTCTCACCCCTAATTCCAAACAAAAACAAGCGTCAGTATCTCAAAAGATCACTGCTGGACACAATGAATAAATCATTGGTGAAAATGGTTCATACATCACCGTTTTCTATTTTAATGACCCATCGACAAACATAAAAGATGGAAAAAGGGAACCCAAAAAAGTACACCGAAATAAAAATTGTCAAACTGCAGCATGGAAGCTGATGAAAAGGCAGAAGCAAGTGAAAGAGTTCTCCCCTCCAAAAGAAAGAAAACAAAAGCCATACGAGTTCATCAAGCCTTGGGCATGTGCTACTACCAACCCTCAAGTGTTGCAGTTATAATCATCGCAAGATTATACAGAATAACCCACTAAACTCAGGACTACAGACCTACATTAGAAGCAACTGGGATTGGGAGAACCAACTAACTTTTGCATGAATGTCTTAAATTGCACTAGACAGGACAGCGGGATGGCAGATAGTACAACTCCCCTGTACACTTGCGATGGTCAACGGGAATCATAAGGTTAGTTAACCAAAAAGGACAGCTAAAGATCCCTGGAGTGGAGGCTACTGTTGTTAATACACAGGAATACAAGGCTGATTCTGGTTACAATATTTTCAAACAGCTAAATCAAGTAAAAATTCTTCGGTGTCGGTTTAATTGTGGAATCGTGTACATGAATAAAAATACTGACCTTCCAACAGCAAAAACAAAAGAAACTAAGTGTGGATTTAATATACAGTATTCTTAGTTGTTGAAAAACACATAGTGCTTTAAGTTTTTGCAATAGTTAGTCCAGCTAATTTCTCCGGGGTATAAAATCCACTCAGTTTCTCTTGAGTTCATTTTTATAGTGCATCCTATCTCGGCAAAACGATAGTACACAACTACTGATGGAACCTAAGCCATAAAGAACAGGATACACAATTCTAACCTCTGTAGGATCATAAGTTATAGAAATTGTCAATAAAAAGGATAAAATCCTAAAATTTGTTAATCCATACATGTCCCCAAGTTTTGCGTGAATTAGAAACATGCTTTAAGATTGGTACTGCTCCTAAGGTAAATAACATAGCTATAAGTCCATGTATAAAATAATCATAAAGAGCTAATTTATATCAACGATATAGAAAAGAAAATCAAAAACTAACATGGCCTTGCACATGATCTCTTGAACTGGCTCCCTTCATAACCCCCCATCAAATCAAACAAGATAGGTATGATCGGCTCTCTAGACAACAGGAGCTTGTACTGTTTTGTGATACAATATTGTATGTCCATATATATTATATTAGCGAGAAATTTGATAATATCAAGTTTACAACAATATGTAAATTAGCTCGCTTGCAATTTATATCAGACACATAAAATCACACAGACTTTGCTTATCCTTGTTCTCCTATACGTTGCTCGTACCAGTGGACGGCGACTTGCTCAATCCTATGTATGTCCGGCCATATTTAACCATCGTGTGTGTATCGTCCAAAGTTTGTCGTGCGCATAGCACTTCTCCTAAAGCTAATAGTAGCAGTACACGCTCACATATCTAGCACATACCTTTGTCTACCTCCCTCTCCCTCTCTCTTCTCCTAAAGCTAACAGTAGCAGTACACGCTCACAAAGCTAGCCCCAAATTACAGCAAACCGCGGACCTCCGGCCATTCGCGGGACAGTGGAGGGGGGAGGGGGCGTTTGTCTCTCCATGCCACGGAAGTGGCCGGTGTTGCGGAAGACGGCGGAGTGGTAGACGATGTAGACCACAGGCTGCACCAGCGTGACCCGAACTCGTGAGTGGTGCTTCTTGCCGGCGATGTAGACCACAGGCTGCACCACCGTGGCCGTGTCTTGGCCGTCGGGGAGCTGTCTTGGCCCTGGCCCTGCCTGTGAGGCCGGGTCACGGCGCCTCGATAGATCAAAAAGGAGGAGGTCAGGTCAGGGAAGCAACGAATGGAACAAGTAGATGAGGAAAGGGTTCGGACCGGCGTACCGGAGCTTCTAGCATTGCAGATCGAGGCACCCCCACTTCAGATCTGAGCAAGGAACTCGCCGGAAACCAGCACCGCCACGGATCCGAACGGTGACTGGATCCAGCACCCGCGCCTGGTCGATGTTGCTCCATGCGTGCGTCCCCATCGGCCGCACACGGTTCGTCGGAGACTGGTGCGGTGGTCGGCTGTCGGAGTCATGGTGGTTCGCCGGATACAACTATTTAAACCGCATACAAAATTCAATAAACTTCACTATATCTACTGTAAGCAATACAACAGTGCATCAACTCCATGTACTCCTAAAGTACCATTTCTTTGAAATTCAGTCCATGTACTAATTCAGAATATTCCTAACAACTACTCCTGCTGCACGAATAATTGAGTGAGTTAAGAAAGCAGAGATACCTGCATGAATAATGTATTCAGAGTTCTGTTGCCAGTACTCCCTGTTTATTGGCTTGCCTGAACAAATAAGACAAATGATGTATTTAGATAATATGATGGGAGATCAACGATATAGAAAAGAAAATCAAAAACTAACATGGCCTTGCACATGATCTCTTGAACTGGCTCCCTTCATAACCCCCCATCAAATCAAACCAGATAGGTATGATCGGCTCTCTAGAAAACATGAGCTTGTACTGTTCTGTGATACAATATTGTATGTCCATATATATTATATTAGCGAGAAATTTGATAATATCAAGTTTACAACAATATGTAAATTAGCTCGCTTGCAATTTATATCAGACACATAAAATCACACAGACTTTGCTTATCCTTGTTCTCCTATACGTTGCTCATACCAGTGGACGACGACTTGCTCAATCATATGTATGTCCGGCCATACTTAACCATCGTGTGTGTATCGTCCAAAGTTTGTCGTGCGCATATCACTTCTCCTAAAGCTAATAGTAGCAGTACACGCTCACATATCTAGCACATACCTTTGTCAATCTCCCTCTCCCTCTCCCTCTCCCTCTCTCTTCTCCTAAAGCTAACAATAGCAGTACACGCTCACGAAGCAGCCCCAAATTACAGTAAATCGCGGACCTCCGGCCATTCGCGGGACATTGGAGGGGGAGGGGGCGTTTGTCTCACCTTGTCGCGGAAGTGGTCGGGCTTGCGGAAGACGGCGGAGTGGTAGACGATGTAGACCACAGGCTGCACCAGCGTGATCCCAACTCGTGAGTGGTGCTTCTTGCCGGCGATGTAGACCACAGGCTGCACCACCGTGGCCGTGTCTTGGCCGTCGGGGAGCCGTCTTCGCCCTGGCCCTGCCTGTGAGGCCGGGTCACGGCGCCTCGATAGATCAAAAAGGAGGAGATCAGGTCAGGGAAGCAACGAATGGAAGAAGTAGATGAGGAAAGGGTTCGGACCGGCGTACCGGAGCTTCTAGCATTGCAGATCGAGGCACCCCGCTTCGGATCTGAGCAAGGAACTCGCGGGAGACCAGCATCGCCGCGGATCCGACCGGCAACTGGATCCAGCACCCGCGCCTGGTCAATGTTGCTCCATGCGTGCGTCCCCATTGGTCGCACACGGTTCGCCGGAGACTGGTGCGCTGGTCGGCTGTCGTAGTCGTGGTGGTTCGCCGGATACAACTATTTAAACCGCATAAAAAATTCAATAAACTTCACCATATCTACTGTAAGCAATACAACAGTGCATCAACTCCATGTACTCCTAAAGTACCATTTCTTTGAAATTCAGTCCATGTACTAATTCAGAATATTCCTAACAACTACTCCTGCTGCACGAATAATTGAGTGAGTTAAGAAAGCAGAGATACCTGCATGAATAATGTATTCAGAGTTCTGTTGCCAGTACTCCCTGTTTATTGGCTTGCCTGAACAAATAAGACAAATGATGTATTTAAATAATATGATGGGAAATCAATCAAGCAAGCAGGGTAATAAAACAACTGATATATAGTGCTCGCTGCATGCCGTCACCTACTTACATGCACGGATGCATTAGAAACTGAACTTTGTACACTATCTATGCAATGGAGCAATCTACCTCTTCAAGTTGAAACTGATTGTTTACAGTAGATATTTGTATGGTGACAATTGAAAAGCAAGATAGTTCAAGTGTCAAAATGATAGCGTTAATATTTATTACTAGATCAGAACCAACAACATAACTATGCACTTTGGAGACTGATATTATTTAGAAAGATATGGACAGTAAACAACAGGATGCAGCAACAACCATACCAGTAGTCTTCCTTATGGCTCAACACTCCTAACTTTGATCTCCATTAGTTTCTCAACAGGCTGTCTGCATATGGGGCATTTATTTGATTGGAACCTTGGAGCTTGTGCGCATTCACTGCACATACACTGTACAAGATAGGACCAATCAGCTAACAATATTAAGTAATGTATAAGTGAGACCTGAGAAAGCAAAAGTAGAACTACAGGCTACAATTAATTATCTTACCAAATGCCTGCAACGAAAAACAGCAGTGTCCCTTGGCTCTGTCAAGCATATAACACATTCTTTCCCCATGCCATCATCATCGTCAGCATCAGGAACATCAGCGTTGGGGACTTGGTAACGAACTAGCAAAAGGCCTGTGCGTTGCACCGGGTGTACAAAATGTAAATATATGCTTTCACAGTTGAAAAAACTACGAACAAAACAACATTGCAATCAGTCAAACAGCCATATCAGAACAAAAAATTCTAGCTAAGTTTGGTTAAAAATATTTGTCAAACATCTAATACATTTTCAGTTTGTAAATCCCGTACCATTCTTAGGAAACAAACACATGGATATGCTCTTACTTGATTTTCCACATGGCATGTTGAAACAATTTTTGTTGTATCAAAAGTATTGGGATAAGATTTCCGATCAAAATTGATGAATGATTTCGGTTTAAATAGTTAACAAAACAATGCAATTAGATCTCATTGTTGCATGCCTAAGGCTCAAACCCAAGAATAGCCATGCACCCATAGTGAAGAATAACCAGACAAATCATGAGCAAATTCATTCAAAAAGATTGGCTG